GACAAGACGAAAGAAGAAGCAGCCTTAAAAGCATTGAGAGACAAATTGATAGTGTTCGAGTTGGAACAAAATATTGGCCGAGAAGTCAACAAGGTGGATTGTTTAGAAGAAGAAATGTCTATAAGGGAATTGGACGATGAAGTAATGAGGATCACCAAGCCTGGATACGCTCAAACACAGGACCCTCTAATTAAAGTGAATATTGGCAATGAAGGAGAAGATCATCCAATATTCGACAGCCAGATGCTTGATCAAGAGGTCAGTGATAAATTAATCGCTTTATTAAAGAAATATAAGGATTGTTTTGCTTGGGAATATGAACATATGCCTGGTTTAGATAGAAGTTTGGTGGAACATAGATTACTAACCAAGCCAAATTTTAAACCTCATAAACAATCTCCTAGGCGTTTCGCTCCTAATGTACTCCCTGAGATTAAGAAAGAAATAGAGCGACTATTAAAAGTAGGCTTTATTAGAACAGCCAGATATGTCGAATGGTTGTCCAATATCGTGCCGGTACTAAAAAAGAATGGTAAATTAAAGGTGTGCATAGATTTTAGGAATTTAAACATAGCCACACCCAAAGATGAATATCCAATGCCCACGGTAGATTCTTTAGTAGACTCGACTGTCGGACACGTAATGTATTCCTTCATGGATGGGTATTCAGGATACAATCAAATTTATATAACTGAGGAAGATATACACAAAACTGCCTTTAGATGCCCTAGGTCTCTAGGATGTTTTGAATGGGTAGTTATGGCTTTTGGCCTGAAAAATGCAGGAGCAACTTATCAAAGGGCGATGAACTTGATTTTTATGATATGATAGGCAAGTTTGTTGAAATGTATGTAGATGATATAGTGGTCAAATCCATTAAAGAAGATGACCATTTTGAACAATTGAGATGTTCATTTGAGCGAATGAAGCAATATAAACTAAAATTGAATCCCTTGAAATGTGCATTTGGTGTTAATGCAGGAAACTTCCTTGATTTCTTAGTACACAAAAGGGGGATTGAACTTGATAAAAATAAAGCGAAGGCCATTTTAGAGGTCAAATCACCTAGCAATAAAAAAAATTGCAAAGGTTTCTAGGCCAAGTAAACTTTTTAAAACGCTTTATTTCTAACTGTGCAGGGCGAACTAAAACTTTTTCGCCGCTTTTAAAGTTGAAAAATCAGGATGAATTCGTCTGGAAAGAAGAGCATCAAAAGGCTTTTGAAAGCCTAAAGACATATTTATCAAGTCCACCAGTGTTGGTGTCACCAATCCAAGGACGGCCAATGAAAGTGTATGTATCAACTGAACAAGAATCAATAGCTGGAATGGTCGCGCAAGAAGACCAATTTGGTGAAGAAAGGGCGATTTACTACTTGAGTAGACGGTTAACAAAATGTGAATGTAATTACTCTGTCATTAAAAAATTATGTCTTGCATTGTATTTCACTTGTACGAAATTAAGGGCTTATTTACGGCCCGTAACCATTTATTTGATTTCTAGATTAAATTTGGTTAAGTATATGTTCTCTCGCCCTATTTTACACCAAATGGTAGGCCTTTGGACGTTAGCATTATTAGAATTCGAAATACAATACATACCCCAAAAGGCAATCAAAAATCAGGCTTTGGCTAACTTTCTGGCCGATCATCCATGCTTTGACATCCCTAAAGAAATTGAATTAGAAATCAATTCATTCGAATTAAAAC